ATTTTTCTGTCATATGAAAATTGTTTGCAGAAATCAGAGTATTCTGAATGAATGTGGCAAGAGCATTCCAAGTTGACCAACAGTACTCATTAGTTTTAAGGCTTTGTGAAATTTAGAGAATAATTCAGCAAACCAAATTCAGCTTAGACTTAATAACAACCAAATTATTAATATGTTTAAGCACAAAACTAGCAAAGATCATACAGCTTCTGAGTATTGGGAGGTAGTTCAGATCCATTTGAATAGATCTGTGTCCTGAAGATGTAGGGGTGAACAGTAGAATATATAAATGATTCGTATATTTAGTAGATCTAAAGATTTAAATAGTGGTCATGCAATGCTAGTCACGGCATTATGCCGCCCCTCCCCCACTCATGTACCAAAATACAAACACATACCATGAAAGATTATAATATATACATTTGCACACTTACTGAGGTTTTAATACTTGGTGCTGCATCCTTTATGCTTAATCACATCCCTCAGCCATGTAGGAAGACTCTCACACAAATTCTTGAGGGTTTGAAGAGGTATATTATTCCATGCCTCATGTAGAGCAGCCTCCAGCCGCAGGATGGAGCTGATTTCTTTGCCCAATAAACTTCGTTTCACTATTGACCAGAGGTTTTCAATAGGGTTTAGGTATGGGGATTTGCCTGGTCAGTCATTAAAGAACCTCACTTCACAGTCCTTAAGCCAGTGAACTGCAGATTTGGCGGTATAACACAGTGCACTTTCCTGCATAAAAACTGTAGCCCCACACTTGTCAGACACCTCAGGTAAATTGTCACATTATAACTCTGGGTAATTATACTGGTTCTATACTGGTTTTGGGGAAGCACAGTGAGTTCACCAACACTCTGAGCACTGAAACACCTCCAAACCATGAGTGAGTCTGGGTGTTTGGTGATCCCACAGGTGTAGCGTGGGTCTAGCGGGTCACTACCTCTGGGCCAGTACACATGTCCCCCATGGTTACAGGTGACTGTGAAGGTTGTTTCATCACTCTGCAGTACTTCAGACCACTGTTGAGGATTCCAGTGAAGATATTTCTTAGCATAATCCAGCCTACGTTTCTTCTGTGGCTTGGAGAGGATCGGTTTCTTAACCTGGCGGTGACTATTGTAACCCAGTTCTGACATATGTCTGTTAACAGTTCTTACAGACACCTCTGAGAGAAAATGTGGGTTCTTTTTTTTCAATTCTATAGCAGTTATCTTAGGTGTACTCTCTAACTACTTCTTTAACACAGTTAAGGTATGAACAGATGTCTTCTTTGAGGGGCCAAGCTGAGGTTTGGCAGACGGTAACTTGACACCACCACCAGCCTTGAACGCTGCACCCAGTTACTCACTGAACGCTCACACACACCAACATTCTCCACTTTTTCTTTCATCTGGTGCCCAGCTTTGTGAAGCCCTATGATTTGAGCTATAGTTTCAGGTGTTAAAGACTTCTTTTTACCCATAATCAAACATGTATAGCCCCTAAACCAAAGGAACACCGTACAAAAGGTGGGGGGGATGACAGACAAAAGTACAACACTTCCTCTCACCACAGCAGCCACATGAGCACTGAGGAGTCACTGTGGAGTATGGCAGCAGGCCACAACGTCATGCTAATGGCTGCTACCCGGCATAATGCACTGACGAAAAAAGACCCCCCTTGTATGGTAGGCCTTTGATTTTCATCATGGCATTATGCTGAGGCACTCACCCGGCATAATGCCGTGACTAGTACTGTATATGTTGTCTAATACTGTACTAGAGGTTGATAGGGTTTTAGGCCAATGTTTGCTGTATAATAATTGGTTTAAGATAGTTTACTGTAGTTGATCCCACTTAATGCATTACTTGTATAAGACATGGTTAGATAATTATGTAGTTTTGGGTAAGTAGTGCAGAGTAGGGAACACAGCAGTAGTAGTTCTCTGAAAATAGGCCTATGGGGTTTTGTGTGTTTGATATGTATATTCAATTTCCATTAATCATCTAGGGGTTAGCCTAGAAATTTTTTATATTTGACTTTCTTTTTGGGCATCATTATATTACAAAGTTGGTTTGGTTGTCTGGTTTATTTTCAATACAGATTTTTTAGTAGGTCTTTTCTACTTATGTGTAAATTTCTTGATTGATATCAAAAGTGAGGATTTTTAAAAATTCATGATTCACTTTATACTATATGTTTATAAAATCACACTTTATATTTTGCCTATTTGTGATTGCCGTAGTGTATGTAGCTTTAAGAGCAGGGGCTAAGCTCCTGGTGTCCCATTGTAACATTTTTTAAAAGATTCCAGTAGTTATAGCGCTTACTACCTCCACTAGTAAAGCAATCCATTGCTGCACCAATCTATGCATAGAAAAACTTTCTATCTTGTAGACTCAATGATTCTTCTGGGATCAATCCAGAGGTCAGAACTCATATCTATGTTGGAGGAACACCTGGGCAAAGACCGTCGACTTAAAGTCATCAATAAGTGGAAATTTGCAGCACAGAAGTAAGACCCATGTATTCACATTATTTTAATTCATTAAACTTTACATTTGTTACATATTTGTAAGTTGTATGTATAATTCAGTTGGTCTTTTTATTTGTAAACTGTTTATATTATATAAAAAAGCAAGAATTTTAGAACATAAACTACATATCTACCTAACTGAAAGAAGACAACTCTATTCAGATTACAGCCTCACTTCACTTAATGGCCAAGTTCCATTCCTAAGATCTCGTCGGTAAACAAATTTGTCGCTCAGTGAGGAGCATAGTACAGTATAATGGTAGTGGGTTTGTGTCGACCATCTTTGGTATTGTTTTAACCCTTAAACTGTCCAAATGTAGATTTACGTTTGTACTGCTAGCATTCCAAACATAGATCTACGTTTTATTTTTCCTGCCTCCAAATTGGGCACGATTGGCCTGAGATGCCTGGTCAGTATAGAATGGATCGTAACACTCAGCATGCACAGTATTAAAAAATCTGGGACCTTGTGGGAGCACCAATTCAGTCGAGCATCAGCTAGAGCAAATAGCGTGACAAACACCAGGGATTCACTGATGTCATGTCATATTAACACTCCTCTTTTAAGAGGAAAGTGATGCTGAACCAGAGTTTAGTGACTGAGAGATGGATGTGGCCACAAGTGGTCGAGGAAATATCAAAAACCTCAATAATAACCTATGTGTAAAATTTGTGCAACATCCTTTCATTTCTGATACCAGTGGTAGTGTCATCCTGCCTGAATGTCCAATAACCTATGCCTAAAGTAAAGAGAAATGTGTAATATGTACTATTCGGGAGGCTGGCTAGCTGGCTGACTGACTTTGGCTGTTTCTCTGTCTGTATCTGTCTGTCTGTCTGTCTGTCTATATCTCTGTCTATCTCTGTCTCTCACAAGTACGCCTAAGTACAGTTATTATCCATAGTGTAAATTACCTAGGCTAACCCCAAAATTCCAGGCAAAATGCTATACAGTACTTGCAGATATAAGGCATAATAAGCATGACGTAAGTAATACGCATTTTCACTTGCTCAGGAATCGGGGTGCGGCTCGTAAACCAACAGGTGTGGTGATACCTGTCCTGAGCTGTCTGGGTATTAGCGTGGGATGTTACAGAGGACCATAGCCTGTTGTAGTGTTTTAGAATCTCAGGTTAAAGTGTTGAAGAAGGAGGTCCTACTCCTTCAGGAGATAGTTGGTGCTGGTAAGGAGGAAATGGTTACCACCAGTGTGAGTGGCAGCCACTTGAAGTGGCAAGTGGTTCACAGTTCAGGAAGAAGGAAGATAAGGAGGGTTAATAAAGAAGATGTGAAGGTAGGAAATCAATTCTCTGTTCTCCACGACGAGTGTACTTCAGTGGTTAGTAAGGTTAAAGGTACCTCTGACTCCTCTGCTAATCAAGGTAAAATATTCTGATTGTGGGAGACTCTCAGGTAAGATATATGGACTGTGCTTTTTGTAACAGAAAAGTCAGACAGAGGGTGAGCCTCCTAGGAGCTGGTGATGGTGATATAGTCAGCAGGTTGGATAATACTATGTAAGGTAATGGGAACAAGCCCATTATCTGTCTTAGTGCTGGTGGAAATGACATTGGGAAGGGCAGGAGATAGGAGCTACTGGATAAGTACAGGTCATCCATAGAAGTAGTCAGGTCTAAGGGAGGGATGCCTATCATATGTAGCATCTTGCCTAGAAGCGGAGTGGGCAATGAATGGATGTCTAGGGAAATTGGTATAAACTGCTGGCTAGACAGGTATTGTAGGGAACTTGCAATCCCATTCATTGATAACTGGGACAAATTCTATGGCAAACATGATATGCAAGGGATAGGGTTCATCTCTCTGGGGTTGGAGTGGTTGCATTAGCCAATTCAATTGAGGGGGTAATTGATGACTTGTCTAGGACTTTAAACTGATAGATTATAGAGGTATGGGTGTTTGTGGGAAACAGTCAGGCTGCAGTATTATTGTTGGAAACCGCAGATATTACCAGGATACCTCAGGGATATGTTAAAAAGACAATATTCAAAATAAAGTTGCTAGTAAAGGCAAAGCAATTGATCAACAAACAAAGAGAGATAGTAGAGGGCAACGAGTGATTAGCTCCCTTAAGGTTTACTATACAAATAGTAGGAGTCTAAGAAATAAGATAGATGACCTAAGATTACTTGCAAGTGCAGGAAATATAGATATTATTGCTATAACAGAGACCTGGTTCAACTTGAAGGATAAAGAAATGCCTTCTGAATGCAGCATGCAGGGTTATAAACTATTCCACACTGATAGGGTCAACAGGAAGGGTGGTGGAGTGGCAATGTATGTCAGAGATAATTTAAATTGTTGTGTTAGACATAATATAAGATTAGAAACATCTGACACAGAATCTGTTTGGCTTCAGTATCTTGAGAGATATGAAAAATTAATTTTGGGTGTGATTTACAGGCCCTCAAACCTTGATAGGGAGTGCAGTAAGCTGCTATGGGATGAAATTCATAAGGCGCCTCGGTATGAAAATGTTGTGTTAATGGGAGATTTTAACTTTAGTCAAATTGATTGGAACAATTTGACAGGTAATCTTGAGTCTAGTGACTTTCTTGATACAGTTCAGGATTGCTTTTTAAAACAGTTTGTGACAGAATCAACTAGAGGAAACAGTCTGCTTGACTTGGTTCTTGCCAACAAAGATTCACTAATTAATAATCTTGAGGTTAATGATGAGCTTGGGGAAAGTGATCACAAATCACTTAGTTTCAATATACAGTGGAACCTTGACTTAGAGGGGGGCTCTTGACCTAGGCAATTGGATCTGTAATCCTGAATACCTTCCATCCCCTCCCCCCACAAGCACTTCCCCATTATAATAATAATAATATACAGTGGACCCCCGGTTAACGATATTTTTTCACTCCAGAAGTATGTTCAGGTGCCAGTACTGACCGAATTTGTTCCCATAAGAAATATTGTGAAGTAGATTAGTCGATTTCAGACCCCCAAACATACACGTACAAATGCACTTACATAAATACACTTACATAATTGGTCGCATTCGGAGGTAATCGTTATGCGGGGGTCCACTGTATAATAAAAATAATATAATAATAATACGTATAATAATAATATAATGAAAATGTACTATAACAATAATTATAATAATTCACTGCTTTGAAAGGCCGTCACTAGATGGCAGTGAATACCACAACAATACGGGAGCAGTTATGACCGCCTCCACTTGTCACATAATGACAAATTTTATTCATTCTAGAGTACACCTACCATCTGACTTACGACCTGCTCGACATACGACGACTCGACTTACGGCCGTGTTTTTTATGCCAAATTTCTGGGAAATAAACAAGTGTTTGTGTTGTACAGTGTGTTTATCCTAAACCTTACAGTATAAAATACAGTACTAACAGCATAAAAAGTAAAGTAAAACATGAAATACCAAAATAAAACAATAAGATAAAGTCATTACAAAAATGTTATGTTGATATTCAGTAGTAAAGTTTGACTTACGTCCATTTCGACTTACGACCGGTTTCTTGGAACCGAACTCGGTCGTAAGTCGGATGGTAGGTGTATGTATCAGGTTTCTGTGTTATTTATATTGTTTATTATGTCATATTAGATCAGTTGTGATAGATAAATAAGTCGTAGAGTTAATTCAGTGGACCCTCAGTGTTGCGAATAAGAAATTTTTTAAAGAACTTCAGAATGTGGCCTGTTACCATTCATTTCTTATGCAACAAGATTTTTGGATCCGAGTTATTTAAAGTTTTAGAGTCTAGGGGAAATAATTTCAACTGGGAAACTCCATAGAATAATATTCAAATTTATTAAAGTATTTAAATACAATACTTTATCTTCTCTTTGTAGTTAATGTAACTTAATACTTTGTACAATAAATTTACCATATACATTTAGTTCAAAATCATGGAAATGTCTCATTAATAAGGAAGTTTAATTATTCTTCCTGTAATTCAGTCTTCAATAACATTTACGTCTTTGTCTTAACAAGACTAAACTCAAAATACAAAAGGTACAAGATTTAACAAGACCTTTGAATCTGGCCATAAAGTATCTCTATGGATTACTGAACTGACCAAGAATTTTTTTTTTTTTTTTTTTCAACAAGTCGGCCGTCTCCCACTGAGGCAGAGTGACCCAAAAAAAAAGAAAGAAAATCCCCAAAAAGAAAATACTTTCATCATCATTCAACACTTTCACCACACTCGCACATTATCCTGTTTTTGCAGAGGTGCTCAGAATACAACAGTTTAGAAGCATACACATATAAAGATACACAACATATCCCTCCAAACTGCCAATATCCCAAACCCCTCCTTTAAAGTGCAGGCACTGTACTTCCCATTTCCAGGACTCAAGTCCGACTATATGAAATAACCGGTTTCCCTGAATCCCTTCACTAAATATTACCCTGCTCACACTCCAACAGATCGTCAGGTCCCAAGTACCATTCGTCTCCATTCACTCCTATCTAACACGCTCATGCACGCTTGCTGGAAGTCCAAGCCCCTTGCCCACAAAACCTCCTTTACTCCCTCTCTCCAACCCTTTCGAGGACGACCCCTACCCCTCCTTCCTTCCCCTATAGATTTATATGCTTTCCATGTCATTCTACTTTGATCCATTCTCTCTAAATGACCAAACCACCTCAACAACCCCTCTTCTGCCCTCTGACTAATACTTTTATTAACTCCACACCTTTTCCTAATTTCCACACTCCGAATTTTCTGCATAACATTTACACCACACATTGCCCTTAAACAGGACATCTCCACTGCCTCCAACCGTCTCCTCGCTGCTGCATTTACCACCCAAGCTTCACACCCATATAAGAGTGTTGGTACTACTATACTTTCATACATTCCCTTCTTTGCCTCCATAGATAACGTTTTTTGACTCCACATATACCTTAACGCACCACTCACCTTTTTTCCCTCATCAATTCTGACCAAGAATATAAATATCAAAAGAAT